TCGCCAAACAAGTGGCCTTGTGCACCTCATCTGCCCACAGATCAAGTCACATGTATGCATAAAAGATAAAAGGCATAAATAGAAATAAAAGATCCTAGAAAAATATAACTTTTTTATTAATTTCCATTCCCAAAATTTACAATTATAGTCTCCCTTGAGACATAAAAGTGAAGACATAAGTAATAAATTACTAAATGGGCGAATGCAATGTGATAGCCAACCATGCGCCCAACAGAGCCTTCTTCTCCCGAGGGTGCGATTGGAGCCGGAGAAAGAAAAAGGTGCTTGAGCTGTATTGGATGAAGGAAAGGGGATCACCCTTAAGATGACTATAATAATTCATGCCACCAACTTGCCAGCACTAGAAGAAGAAGAAAAATACCCCCTGAAAGTCCCCGCTTCTGTCAAATTGATATTACCCAATGAGAGAGTCGAGAAGTGGCAAGAAAGACCAACCTCTCCCATAGCCGCTTCCTCCAACTCGCCCGCCAGGAAACCAAGAATCTCACCCCTCCCACTTAGAGAGCCCTTTTGGGACAAGGCTCGTCGCCATCACAAAAGTGATGAGGAAGGAATGAGTGAAGGAAGCACAACACAAGCATCACCAAGGCAAAGCTAACACTAGTCAGCTTGTCAATGGACCAAACAGTTCACCTCCATATTAAGTTTTCCTTCCTTTGTTAAACTATATATAAAATATAAAAAATAGTTTTCACCCTTTTCTTTATCTACTGTAGATGAAAAACTCCATGGCATCTCGCCACTCACCGCCATAATAGCATTCACAAGGCCAAGCAACCTACAGGGCTCAGGCCCAAAAGGAACCTTGAGAGAGCTCACCAGAATCTTATCACTTGGAATCATAAGGATAGGAAGTATGAGTCCGTCTCAATAAACCACCTACCTATTTATAGTGGAGTTTGAATGATCAATCACGTAAACCCTCATTAACAACGATCAAACACCATCCCCGATGCCACAGGAAAAGGTTGGCAATGATTCAACTCTCTAAGATAGCACAGTTGGCGAGGCTGCAATAAACGCAATAATTGACCCAATAACAATTGTATAATCACTTCAGACCACAGTAAAAGAGGCAATAATTACGCCGACGCCACAAAGTAAATGAGCAATCATACATTTCTCTCCTAACCGAGTATTTAGTAATAGCGTTTAATGTTTAATCACATGACTGTCTTTTATCTTCACTTTCCTCTACAATCTTATATATCATTTGCATATTTGAACTTACAACTCCATCGCACATTGCACAAACAATTATCAAATAAAAGACAATCGCCCAATATGACAAGTATGCTAAGCAGCTAATTCCCCCCCCCCCCCCCCCCCCCCCTTACGACAAGATTTGCAATGAGCGACGTGCGAGTCCTTTATAGCTTGCAAGTCTAGATGGTTGCCCCCACAAAGACTAAAAGTCTGTTGCAAGGCAGAGCCCACCAAAGGCAACCTTGCAAGAAAGAAAAAAGCGCATCCTCATTAGAATTAAAGACAACTAGCATAAGCCAAAAGGAATGAACACATTTTTTGGTGATTCAATATCCCTAGTAATAATTTGGCAAGGCATTCTATCCCATTATAAGCCGCCATCATAGCATATCAATGAGAACATAAATCAAAAGCAAATAAGCTCGTCTAAAATCCAACTTTATTTAACTTTTACAAATATTACAAACAATTGCCATCCATTGGCTTGTATAAACAAATCTCTCAAACTATTCAAGCTCATCAAGCACCATGGAGCATCCCCAACAGCTAATCACTCACCATGGCCAACGCCAACCCTCCAACGCACTCCAGCATGATCTGCTAGTTAATCGGGTCCCACTCGATCCTCATCGAGCCTACAATATTCCTCGTGGCTATCATTTGAGTCCTATTGAGGGTGAATGCTTCCCGTCAACTTCCTTCTTTAGTTCGACGACATCCCAGAAACCGCTTCTCCAAGTTGAACATTGGGCTCACTGATAAGTTGGAGATTTATCATCTTCTTCAGGGTCACAAGCTTCCCAACAACCTCCTTCAGCAAGACCAAACCCATGGAAGGAAAGAAGTTGGACTATATAAGGGATAATGAGGCCACTGGCATCTCCGAAATCCTCGCAAGCTTTCCCTCTATCTGTTTATCCACTAGCACCCCAACAAGCATGTTCATCATCATCGTAGACACTAGGCCAGACACACCTTGTCCACACTCACCTCTTCCCTTTGCTGATCACAACGGGCTCAAGGAGCACCATGTTTTGGAATACTCCGCAATCAGTGTTTATGTCAACAACACATATAGTTCATTAAAAGTTAAGTCAAGGAGTCACACGGGAACGAACAAAAGACAATCTAGTGATGCATTCCTCCTGCGAAGGTTTAAAATTGCGTAAATAAGCTAGCCTTGAGGCATTTTTCAAATAATGGTAACGCCTCTCTCACTCCATGTCCTTTAAATCTTATCAATACTCCGCTCTGTGTTCTACAACTCCTCCTTCAAAATCCATGACCACAACTCGTACATGGAAAGTGCCTTCAACCCTCATCCATACAATCCTACAGATCGCAATATATTGAAGTAGGACGACGATATTGCTACATTAAATGAAATGACATTCTCAAAAAAGAATCTGGCAATATTCATGCACATCTGTCGTCGACCCTCTCTGGTACCAACCGTAGGCATCATCTGTGCTTTTCCTCTATCCTCTCCTAGATTAATCATATACTGGTCCATAGGACCCCGGGCACCACTACTGTGTATAGTGGAGGAAGAGTCATTTCCACTCTCGCTCCCGTAGTAAGCACCACGTTCACCCTTTCATCAAATTGCTCATGTTGTAAATGTTTATCCGTGATACTCTTCTTCATGTAAGCAGTAATTTCCTCCACCTTATCCGACACATTCGCACAAGGTGCTACGTTTTTATGTGACCCGGATAAGTGTTCCTTCATGCGGATAACTCCTCCCTTCACCACTTTATCACAAAAATTGCATTTCAAATACAAGTATGTCTTCTCATCGTCGCCTATGTCAACATGTACACTGTACTTCCAAGAAGGGTCCCTACACAATGACGTATTTGACTTTTTCTTGCCCCTAACCATGTTTCCTAATACACATGCAAATTAAAAAAAAAAAATCTCAAAAAATTTTAAACCCTAGATTTTCTGTAAGTTGAAAAATCAAACATTGAATTAGAAAAAAAACTAAAACCGATAGTAGAGGTGTTGTACAGGGCGACCGGACACAAGATGCTCACCAGCGTGAGGTGGCGCCGGCGGGAGAGGCAGCGGGAAGGTCGGCCGAGGAAAGCTAGGGCGGGATCATATGGACTGGGGACTGCGGAGCTCTCCTCCATGCAGTTCGGGTAGGCTGATAGAAGGAAAGGAAGAAATTGGGGTTTTTTTAATAATCACTTAAGTGAGTTGGACTCGGCTCCATGAGGCGTACGCCTCACCCATTATTGTGCAATTGCGCCTTTAAGGCACGCCTCAGGCTCCATGAGGCGTAAGCCTCACCTGGTCCCAAAATTGTTTAAGCAATGAGGCACTTGGGGGTACAATTGCGCAGAGACGCGCCTCTAAATACCCAATTTTAAACTATGCCCCCTGCAATACTTGAAGGTTGTCCATTGTTCTAAAACACTCATCTCTTATACAATCAGCTAATGCTGCAAGAGCTCGCTTAAGGATGCATAGACTACTAGCTCTCTTATACTGGGTACCTTCTTTCCTAGCAATGTAATCTTTAAAGAACTGCACCTATCTTTTCTAAGCTTACCTCCTTCAGGAAGAGCTTCAAGCAAACTCACCACTGCCGGGGAGATTTCCCCTACACCCTGCAGTGCCGGTCCCCGAAAAGCCACTTGTTTCATTTCCCTAGTCAGTAAGGGCTCGGTATTCTCATTCTCCACCAAGATCATCTCCATTGGAGCACTAGGGGCAGTAGCAACAGGCAACCCACTGACAGTCAGATTAGTCGGACCGACTGCAACAGAGGTCATCTCCCCAAATTCGATTTTGGTTCTCTTTGCATGGGGAGGCAATGAGTTCCACGGGTTCATTCTCCAGTTGAGCTTTGCCCTTATCAATCTCCTTGTCCAACAATGCTGTCACAGAGTTTGTAGCTAGGAAGGGCCAGATTACCCATGGTGAAATGCTTTTTACCTGGCTACTTGGCTACGCTCACGAGAAGCTGCGATTAGATCCATCCCTCAAAGTGTCGATTCACTGGTTACACTGAACAAGAAAATAAACTCTCTTCAATGCCAGCTTCAAATTTATAAAGAGGCCTCAGTGTGGCGTGATGCCACGATAAATTTCAATAATGCAATGTCAACTCGATCTTCGTGGTTATAATAAAAATAAAGGTAGTAAATAAGCATTTATTTCTTTCTATTATATTTGGCAATCGTGCATACTATTCATTGACTCACCCTTTTCACCACTCACTTGTAAAAGGATGAGTGAATCATAGAACTAAATGTGTGCTCATGATCACCTTCTCAGATGTTTTATACGTAGCAGCCGGGTCGTGACGAGAGCATCCCTTCTCAGGAGCATCTCCCTCAAGGGACTCAGCCAAGGAGAATGACGAGTGTTACTCACCCATCTCCACCAAGAAGCTCACCTTACATTGGGCAACCAAGAAGTTCCTCACAGATTGCCACTCATCTCAATCAGATCATTCCCTTGTCAAACTAAACTATAGGTTCTCAGTTCACTGTATTGATCTGCTAGTAAAGTCTGGTATCATCACGAATCCAACAATAGATCCATTCATCTGCAATAAAATCTCTTTTAAGCATAAACAACAATTATGATCACACTAATAATATACACGATACAACAACAACAATAACATCAAGCCTTGATCCCACGATGTGGGATCAACTACATAAATCATTTTTTTTCTATTGTGTCATGCTTAGATACAAATTCTCTTTTAAATCTAATAATGAAAAGTCATTTCTAATTAATAATAACCACAGTAATAACATAAAAATTAAATCACATTTATATATCCTGAAATCAACAACATTTAGAATAACTTCAAAGTTTCGCTCCATCAAAGTGAATATGTGTTTCCTACTTGTACTCCAAATGTTAGATTTACTCGATTAAAAATTAGTAGCAATACTTATTTCAGCAATTAATAAAAAAAAAGTCAAACTATTTCATTTTAAAAAAAAACTCGAATCCTAATTCCAAAAGGTGAAAATTCAATCAACCAGATCCCATCTACCAGTCTAACATAAAACCAAAAGTAGGTCACTTGCAGTAGCGATCAGCCTTCCTCCTTACCCGATCGTCCAGCGCCTCCTCTACGCTCCTGGAGCCATTTCGGGACTTGTTGGCAGGGTCGTACCCAAACTTCTTCGTCTCCACGGGGAAAAGCTCCTCATACTTCATCTTCTTTGCGGCGTCAATTGTATACAAGTCAACTCCAGCCGCCATCGCAGCGCTCTCACCATCTACGGCGCCGCTTCCATCGCCGATGACACCATCCAAGGCGTCCTCCGCTTCCTTGTGCTTCTTCATCTTGTGTCTCTTCTTGCTGATAGACTTGACTGCTGCAAGCTCGCCGCCCTTGAAAGCGAGCCTCCCCGGCTTAACCTTGTTGTACGCGTCCGACATCTCGGCTGCTTCTCGTCTTTGAGTTTTTCTGCGTTAAATCAAATTATTCTTTGGGCCTTCTAGTGTCAATATTCGGCTTAAAAAGTGAACCACGGTAAAATTTGATTAGTCTTAATACTTGCGGTAGGTTTGTGTAAATTTTTTCTATTATTTTTGAACAATTATTTAGTCCGGTGAACGTACGCTCCTCTACGTTCGGCCACCAATGTATTAACGCCACGTAGCATGAAGAAAAGTCGCCGACCCGACCCGCTGTGTTTTGGGTTATCGCACGTGTTAAATTTTAAATGGCAAAAAAAAACGGAAACACTTCGAAGTGCGACGCTACACCTTATTACGGAGTTTCGAATCCCTGTCACTGTTTACTTCGTTTTTTCAGATTTCCAGGAAATCCTTCGGAGTTCTCCAGCATTTCCTTCGTGGTTCTGCAGCATTTCGTTCGTAGTTATCCATCATTTCAGCTCGTAGTTCTTCGTATTCTTCATTCGAAAACCATCGCTGATATAATGCCTGAGGTTCGAAACGATTTACCGAAAAAGTTTGTTTATCTCGTTACAAATCTAAAAGTACCGAGTTTTAGGGATATGGTAAACATTTCTGGGTGTTTTTAAAACTCGGTACACATTCTAAAACTCGATACTAATCGGTATTCGGTATTAGGTTTTGTTCGATTTTCTCGGTATTTGATGATTAAAACTCGGTAAACGTCGTAACTGGTTGATAAAACTCGGTACACATTTCGTAGAGATGTTTGGTTTTCCTTAGTAAATCGAACAGAATCCTAAACGACGTGTATTTAGGGGTTAGGGTTTGGTTTTACCGGATTACTCGGTACTCGGTACTCTTTACTCGGTACTCGGTACTCAGTTCTCGGTACTCGGTACATGATACTCGGTACTCGGTATTTCTTGAAAAAAATCGGTATTTTCTTAGTATTTGTTACACTTATTTATTTCACGTAGTTTTTCACGGAATATCTCTGTAAAACTGTTATTTTCTTAGTGTTTGTTACACTTTATTATGCAGGGATATACCCCCAAGATTCATTTCAGATGTCGGACATCAGGATTTAGGGAAGTTTGTGATGAATTGGTTGAGAAATTTGGGGATCAGTTTGTTAGTAGCCTATCTGAGCTACAAATTAACCAGTTTCTTTTACTACCTCGGTTCCCACAAAATGTTCCTATGGTTTATATGTTATTGTCAACGTGGGATAACGAATCAGAAAGTTTTGTTATTAATAGCCGGAGTCTAACTTTCACTTCTGAAGAAATAGCGTTGATTATTGGCTTACCGAACAGAGGTAATAAATTTGAACCTGGGACTGGTACAATTGCTGGTAAAACTGCAAATGACATAAGACATGACATTCTGAAAATGGAAGCCTCAACGCCTATGGTGATTGTTAGGGAACAATTTATTGTATACCTATTGTCCAATATTTTCTTTCCAATGGCAAACTT